GCTTTAAAAAAGAAATACTTGTGCTTTTATATCGTTAGTATTAGGCTGAAGGATAGCCAATTCATTGAGTACATAATCATTACCCAGTTTCTTAAAACCTTGCATGTCCACAAAATAATATATCTTTCGCTACTATAATATTTAATTTTATTGTTTTTTTTATTTTTTTATACCCTTCATTTTTAGGACAAAACCCTTTGTTGGTTAAATACTCATCGACAAAGTTTTTTAGCCAAGATTTTTTATTTCTATCATCATCATCCTTAGTTGAGATTTTTTGATACTTAACATTAGTTGTAAAATTTCTCGTTTACGGTTTATGTGACATATTAATAAAAGTAAAACGTACTAAACATACTAATTTTCAAACAATCTTACAGTTTTTATCTTTCGATTCCTCCGTAGGTTCTATTTTTTCATCCTTTACGTCTTTCTTCTCGTTTCTCCTCATAAATTTTTCCCACTCTTCTCGTCGTCGTTTGTTTTTTGCTTCTTCTTTACTCTAGCTGTTGCTCCAACCTTTATTCATGGTGGTTGAATATAAACCGATGCTTGTAAAGCCCTGAATTGACTGAATGCATCTTCACACGAGTTTCTCGATATCTTTAGTTATTGGACTATACTGAACGATACGGTCTTGCAAAATTGAGCAATAAGCTAACGTTGCTAAGTTTTTGCGGTTAATTCCATAGGTGAGAAATACTGTGCTTCTAAAACAGAAGAAGTACTAGAAAGGCTGAGTGTTAATGTGTATTTCGTCGTTTTCAAAGTATAACTAAGAGGTCTCCTTCGATGTGAGAAAGTTAGATTTGTTTCGATAGAAATTTTAATCACAAATAACCGCAGTTGTATGAGTTGAATGTTTAATAACCCTTGCAATAATATTTTACCTTATTAACTTTCAGATATAACATCAAGTGGATGGGTTGCTGAAGATCTCCAAAACTGTTGAAATATACAACATTGTGACCACGTTTTCGATACCTATATCAAGCTAGCACAAGAAAGTCAGCACACCACTATGGTACTTAATATATAATTTGCCGCTAGTTTGCCGATAATTTGTAATGTTAAAACTAAATTTGCCGCTGCACCCAGAAGCCGAAAAATCAGTTGCGTGTCAGCTTAGTTTCAAGCTAGCACCGCCACGACTGTTATCTTGGGATCCTGTTAACTTGGAAATACATTTCCAACGGATAATTTGCCGCTAAACTGTTAGCTAACAGCAGATTTTACTGAAGTTCCCAGATGCCAGGAAATCAGTTGCGTGTCAGCTTGATATCAAGCTAGCACTGCTACTGGTATTATCTTGGGATTCTGTCAAGTTGGAAATACAGTTCCAACGAAATAATTTGCCACTGATTTGCCGCTAAACCATTAGCTAACTGCACATTTTACCGCAGCCCCCAGAAGGCAGAAAATCCGTTGCGTGATAGCTTATTACTGAACTAGCACATTTACAATCAAAGTTAGGGGATTCTAATATTTTGGATCTAAATAAAAAAAACAATTTAAAAAAAATTCTTTTTCACACGATAGTAATTTTTATACTTATGATTTATATTAATTGTAACAAATTTTTTGGGACATTTTAAACCAGAGTGAAGGTTGCAGTTAAACAGCTACTACAAGGAATTAGTTAGAGAAGAATCGAGCTGCGAAGCCGAATCAACTAATTCAACGCATTTGGCCAAATCTTGCCACAAATTTGGAATTAAAGGGTGTTATGTCCTAATCTATGTACCGTTTTATTACGAAGAATCTGATGCTACTTGTAAAAAACTTGTTTTGATCATAATTGACGTAGGGGTCTTTTCAACACTGTCTAGCCTAAGTGCGCCCAGAGAAGAAAGTGCTCCTAAATTCCAAATAAATTAAATTTTTTGTTAAAACAATATATTTAATAAGACATAAATATTTGTTCAATTCATTTTCGTATAAAATTGATTCAAAATTTTTTTTTAAAACGGGGTTACCCATGAAATCATATAGAACGCACATACATATGGTTTCGGGTAGTAAATTACTAATAACATAGACATTTTTGTCGCAAATCTAACTGTTAAACTTCCTCAGATTTCTCCGAGTAGCGAATTACTCCCTTTGTCTCTCTGATCGTTAGGAGTAGAACAGCCCCTGACTCTACCAATCACATAAGCCTTCTTCCAGTACCTAAAACTTTAAGTATAACAACGAAACTGTATCTGTCGAGGTTGATAATAGCTGAGCTATCTAAAAACACCTTTCCCACAGTAGGTTGAGTATTCAATTCTTGTCCTGGAATTTTTTTTTCTCAATCTTTTTTTATTCATATTCAAGCAAATTGTCGATTTTCAATCAATTTAGAGGACAAAAAATTTATTTTTTCTACTTCGGTCTTTTTTGAGAGGCTGCTGCGCCCTTAGTAAAAAAAAAAGTGTTCAGCCAAAATGTACATATAGCCAGAGTAGTCCCAACCAAATTAGTCAAGGTCTAATAGTAACTTAATAAAAAGGTAGAAATAACATTTTTCTTATAATCTTATTCTCTTCTATATAAAACTCTTTTAACTGAAAAAACATAGGCTCGGATTGTAGTAACACTTAATTCTAAGATGATCTATTATCTATGTCTTATTAATCGAATAATTAACATAATTAAATTTTATGAACAGCCAGTTAACGAAATTAAAGTTATTAATAAATAACCAGAAATTATATTTGCATAATAAACGAACTCTTAAAGTTCTAAAGGACTCTACAAGGACTTTGTTTTGTATAAGGTCTATGAAGTATGTGTTTACTCACTAATTTTGAAAGTTTTGTATTACCAGAGGGAATTTCAGCTGAAATAATTGCATCTATTTTTGCAGGTGTAACAATTTTTTCATCGTGATGCAAAGTAATAAAAACGTGTGCATGAGGGAGACCACGTTTTTGGGATTCAGTGATGTAGACATATGAGGATAGTTTACCAAGTTAATTATTTTTAATGATGTCGTGGAAAACTGACATTAATTCCATGTGAATAGTTATGTTAAGAATATTATTTAGTGTCGTATTTTAAGAAAATTTTTAAAAATTAACTTCAGTTTTTTCTAATTAGGATAACATGTATCTGTTACAAATTAAGCTGGTCTACCACATTCACTTATTATAGACATTACATCTTAACAATGTTTCTGTATATATCTTGGACTGCCAACGTATGTAGAAGGAAGTGTAAAAATATTTCCAATTTTTTGCTTTGTCTCGAAACTTTAAGAAATATTAGATCCACTATTTACAATTGCGTCTAATAAACCTTGATAACATTCCATTTCTGAATTTTTTTGATTATATCTTAAAAAATTTAAACGGTTGTATTTAATTATGATGTAAGAATGGATAAAAAGTTGTTGTGTCAGCCGTCCCTTGTATAATAATAGATTGAAATGTATTTCGTTTGATCTGTAAGTCAGTCGGTAGGAACAATATTATAACATAAGTTAGTTTTTCACTCCCATTTAAGTAATTTATGAGATAAATATTACTGTATCCTAAATATCCTAAGGAAAAAAATTATGGAAACGCCATGGGATCGATAAAATTATATAGTTTGCTTCAAATTGTTACCTTAGGATGATTATCAGGTAAGTCTTCTGGGTATACACAAAGGTCGAAGCTTTCTGAACGTCCAGAGTTTGAAACTTATAGCACCACATTCTACAGTCAATAGTTTACTGTATCTATATTTTTGCTGGCTAATTTTTCTTAAAAAAATCATTTTATAATTTGGTTGTTTTAATAATTTTAATACTTCAAACTCCAAACNAATTGTTACACCTGCAAAAATAGATGCAATTATTTCAGCTGAAATTCCCTCTGGTAATACAAAACTTTCAAAATTAGTGAGTAAACACATACTTCATAGACCTTATACAAAACAAAGTCCTTGTAGAGTCCTTTAGAACTTTAAGAGTTCGTTTATTATGCAAATATAATTTCTGGTTATTTATTAATAACTTTAATTTCGTTAACTGGCTGTTCATAAAATTTAATTATGTTAATTATTCGATTAATAAGACATAGATAATAGATCATCTTAGAATTAAGTGTTACTACAATCCGAGCCTATGTTTTTTCAGTTAAAAGAGTTTTATATAGAAGAGAATAAGATTATAAGAAAAATGTTATTTCTACCTTTTTATTTAGTTACTATTAGACCTTGACTAATTTGATTGGGACTACTGTGGCCGTATGTACATTTTGGCTGACCACTTTTTTTCTTACAAAGGGCGCAGCAGCCTCTTAAAAAAGACCGAAGTGGAAAAAATTAATTTTTTATCCTCTAAATTGATTGAAAATCGACAATTTGCTTGAATATGAATAAAAAAAAGATTGAGAAAAAAAATTCCAGGACAAGAATCGAATACTCAACCTACTGTGGGAGAGGTGTTTTTAGATAGCTCAGCTATTATCAACCTCGACAGATACAGTTTCGTTGTTATACTTAAAGTGTTAGGTAGTGGAAGAAGGCTTAGGTGATTGGTAGAGTCAGGGGCTGTTTCACTCCTGACGATTAGAGAGACAAAGGGAGTAATTTGCTATTTAGAGAAATCTGGGGACGTGAAAGGAACAAAACAATACATATCTCAGGCACGTACGGATAGCAACCACTCGCTTTTGGCAAAGAATATATAAATATTAAGTACAATTAAGTTACTGACTATTTATTTTTTCAACGAGTTACATTCTTACTATTTTCTAGTTAGTTATTAGATTAAATAAAATAATAACATATTCTACTCGAATCGGATCAATAGAATTATCAAGCTCAAATGTAATTAGATCTACCTAAATTTTGCGTTCGTTCTGCATAAAATTAAAGTTCATCGTAATGGGCTGTTGAGTTTTTGTATTTTGGAATAAATAGTTTTTTTAATGTAAAAGTTTTTGTCAATAGTTACTTGTACTACTGGATAAGTAATAATGCTTAAGATTTTATATTATTGACTTAATGCATTATCTTTTTTGTTACAGCTATATCAAACAAACAAATTCCTCGTCAATTGAATCGACCTACAAATATAATGCCAACAGCTGTTTTTAATGGTAATGAATCCGTTTCGACTCTTCTGGGGCGGAAAGAAGTAGAAAATATTCCTCCTACTCCAACGACCCCGGTATTTTCTGTACCAACCACCATTCCTCAGAGACAAAACAAGTTGCAGGTTTCACAAATTCAAGATAATGGGAGGAATCGTCGTTCAAATGTTGTAAAAGAAGTAGAGAGGTTAAAGAAAAACAGGGAAGAAAGAAGACAAAGACAAGCTGAATTAAAAGAAGAAAAAGAAGCTCTTATGAATCTGGACCCTGGTAATCCGAATTGGGAGTTTTTAGCTATGATAAGGTAAAGCTTGAACATTATTGTTGTATTTGAATTTTTTTATCAAAATATAAAATAAAAAAAAATAAAAAATTTCTTCAGTTAAAAAAATAAAAATTTGTAACACGTATGGAGGATGCCAACAAAAGTTATACGTACGTAGTCAGAAGCACAATACACGTGCATGTGGATAAGGATATGGACAGTCGCGTATTTACAAAAAAAAGTGAGGGAAAGATTAAGAGATAGATATATGTGTATGCGGTGAAAAAACAGCAGAACGTGCCCTATTCTTGGAATGTTACATCTAACCTACCATACATATGGTTTGCCGGTATCTCATGGTAGAATGCAAAACGTTCAAAATAGAATTGCCAACTGATTTACTACTTTGGCTCATGCGTTGAACTATGAGTATAGTACGACTGACGCACTAAAGTGCAGTAACTTATGTACTACAGTGGACTGGTTGTGTTATCAGTGCATTGCCAACCTATTCCCTACCTTAGTCAAGAAATACATACGTTACTACCCTGTACTATATATTAGTGTCTAATCTTGATACCTTTACTGTTCCAGTATGGAGGCAGTACATGCAAAACCAGTATAGAAGGTTGATGAGAGATTGTGTTCATTAACAAATACAATAATCTGCTTGTATGCTTAGCTCCCCAATATATTACTAAATGTTGGTAGTACGCTAGAAAGTTGAAAATCTTTTGATTTTTTGTAGTGTAAAAAGAATAACTGTTTTACTTAAACTAGCTGCCTTAGCGAATTCATTGTTAAATAAAGTTTTTAAAAAATTTACAATTTCAAATCAAACTATTATTCTGATGATACAATTTTTATGCTATTTTTATCTTTGAAAAACGTGCCTTAAAAAATTTACAATTTCAATTCAGGTAAAATGTAATACAATCTCCTGTAGCCTAAATTGCGAAGAAAAGTAAAATTTCTTGCAAAATAGTATTTGTTAAGTTTGCGAGGAAGTAAGTAAAGAGTAAACTCATTTCAATCTAAGTATTTTATCATAAAGAAAAACAATCACAAGCAGTTACGTGTTTTACGGTCAACTGGCTGTTTAGCTTTTAATTGTGTTCAGAAGAACTTCTTTATTGAGCTTTAAATTGTAGCTTCACATTTTAAAAGTATGATTTCAGTATGAATACAGAATTACTGGTTTTGCAATAACTACATTATAAAATCGATCGAGAAAAAGTCATTATCTTTATTTTCTAATTGCCTTTATTTATGCATCAATTATTTTACTGTATGCGTCCTAATTTGTAAGTTGTACGATTTTACAACTTATTTTGTTTTTTTCAGAGTTAGAAAGTAAGAAGATTCTATTCAATTGAACTTTAGCCAACATAGTCAATTTAATAAACAATAAATTTAATAATAAAATACCTATGAGCTATTAGTTTAGAAACCTGTGTGATTTTTAGAGAATTTACCGATATGACTGAACTGTTAAAAGGAACCTTCTATCAAACTGCTATCACTAACGCAGTCTTCTGAGACTCAGAAAATTTGCATAGCAAAAAAAAATGAATTTTGAATATTCAATATATTCTTATATTAACTTAAAAGCCTGTTTGTTCAACGGACAAAGCCGAAGTATTTAATGTAGATCATGATGTTAAAGCCTAACAAAAAAGGATTGTAGGTGGGGTTAAAAATAAAAGTATGAAACAGAGAAGCTAGAGCAAAAAAATAATATTAAGTGAACAAAGCTAACTAAAAAACTTTTTTGTTTGAGCCTAGAAAACGCTTGTTAGAAGACAAGTGGTAGACAACAGGTAAATTTAGTTTACGAAAAACGATACCATTACTAAAAATGTCATTATTTGGAGCTGTGCGTAGAATTAAGTTCAAAAGTAAAAATTGCTAAAATTTCACTTATAGCTATAATTTTGTATAATTATTTGAGAAGTAGTGAGAAAATATAGGTTTCAGAAAATTAGAATGTTATCTATTTAACACTTTTTTTAGAAGACTCATAAAAGCAGTGAAATAAAGTAAAAAGAGTTGGGCAAAAAGTTGCTTTTTAGTAGGTATTAAAAAAACATTGTCAAAAAATTGAAGTGATACTAATATAATGTTACAAAAAGTACTGTTTTAAGTACATAATAGAATGTATTACATAGTATAAGTTTGTTTTTACTCAAAAATAAGTGTGTATATATATATACATAAATATTCTTATGTTATATAGTAATTTTAGAGGATCATTTCAAACAACTCCCCTCCGCCCCTCCTCGGCAATCCCTCAGTCTCTTTCTGAATAAGATGAAATTCTATCAGTTTTAACTATATTTTATTGGGTTACATTTTTGTTTAGCCCTCCTCCAACTCCCTTTCACCCCCTTAGCCCTAACTCATAATTTTATAACCCAATAAGCCTCCCTTACAATTTAAAAGAACTCCTTTCAGCCTTTCATCAGCAGTATCTCTAAATAAAGTAAAATTACATTAATTATCATGTCATTTTTAGTTTAATTAATTTGTACACCCTCTTTCTCAGCTCTCCTTCTGATTTTTAAGAAAACCTCTCAACCCTCATACAATTTCTAAGTAGCCACTTTTTACTTCTCCTTAGCTCCACGTTATCATTTCTTATTCAAACGTTATAATTATTTTAGCTGTGTAGTTTGTTAGCACATTGCTATTATGTCAGTTTTTACTTAATTTCTATTGGATTGAATTTTTGTTTAGCCCCTTTCCACCCCCCTCCCTCATAACCCTAAAACCTAATAACTGCATAATTCAATACAATTTTACCGATCTCCGCCCAGTCACCTTTCAGCTGCATCTCTAAATGAGATGAAATTATACGAGTTTTCATGTCATTTCTATTTATATGACTATTTGCACCTTGTATGTTAGCTCTCCTTATCGTTTTAAAAAAGCCCCTGATTTCTAGCACAGTAGCACATTTCCACACCATCGTTGATGTAGTGCTCTGGTACGGTGATTTTTTTTCCTACATTTTCTGAAAGCTTATTAATTGCATTATTAAAAACGCACAAGAACATGACATTATTTTTTTATACTTAATCAATAACAACGAATAAGCTTATGGAATATGTAAACCATGGACTACACTCGTAGCCCTATTCACCACGAAAATACAGAAATTTATATTTATTGAAATGTGTCAAAAAATTTTCATTGTCATAAAATAATATTTTAATAATAACTTCATGGATTTTATACATTTATTTATTATTCAAATAAACTGTACAAGAATATTACGTACAATTTCATACTTTCGCTAATGAAAATAAATTGAATTTTTTTTCATCTACTTAAGATAAGTTCATACAACGTTAAAAATTTCTTTCCAAACAATACTTTATATTTCTAAATTATTATCACTTTCCATGTAAATATAAATGTCATTGTTATTTTTGCAAATTGATAACGCGACGTACAATTGACCATGCGAAAATGGTGGTTTTTTTCGAATATAATCCAATATTATTAGAGCTTTGACCTTAAGATTTATTAATAGTTATAAGAAACGCTTTAAACGAAGGAAACAAAGGCTATTAAGTATACTTAAATTTCGTATCAACATAACAATTGCTCCAATTTTTGAATTAAGCTCATGTGGTGGTAAGTCTTCACGAATATTGTTTAGAAATTCAATTGTAAAAGTTATATAAATATCATTATCAGATTTATCAATACCCTTGTATGTAGCATGATCTATGCTGTAATATGTTTTTATTTCTTTTTTTACATGATTTGGAATTTGATTATTCAAAAAGTAAGTATACTTGTTATGAGAAGTACGTATAACGCTATTTATTGAAAAGTTAATATCTTTTCCACAAAATTTCGGAACAAACATCAGTTGTTTTCTATTTATTTGGTACTTGAAATGATTCAATTTTTCTTTCTTCAATATCTAATAAAAATTTTGAAAATATTTTGTCAATTGAACGAATATTGACATTAAGTTTTAGAATACGAAACAACGACCAAAGGTACAATGATTTGATTCTTTTTTGTATAATGATGCTTCTTTTACTATTCTTAAAACTGAAAGAATCTGTCTGAAATCGCCGTCAAAAACAATTAATTTACTATTAAAATGAATAATTGTATCACATAAATCACGTTCTTTTAACTCTTTCTAAGGCTTTTTTTTTTGACTCATAGAAGCCCTGTCCGATATAAATAAATCTACTTCTTTCAATTTTTTTTTTAGATTCAAATTCCAAAAACAAAATTTCTACATTGTTAAGGCTAGTGGTGCACGAAATGTTCTCTGATTGGTCATTTCTTTTGAAAGTAATATTGATGCTATACCAGTCCATGCCATTGATAAAATTTTTTTCCTCGAGAAAAAAAAAATTAATTAAAGTTCTATACAAAAATGTTTTCCCTGAACCTCCTGGGACATCAATAAAAAAAGTTTTATCTGTATGTTTACATATAATCTTAAAAATCGTAATTTGATTGTCATTTAATATATCAGACATTAAATTAAAGATACAAGTACAAAAAACAATTTTTTTATGGTACTCTTTTCTTTTACATCAATTTCGGTTGGTGTGGGTAAATTAAAATTTTTACATGATTTGTCTTCATATTGCAAAATCTTATTTATATGTAATAGTGCACGATTGTAATTATTATCCATAAGATCTTTCATCGATTTTTGTATGTTTTCTAAATTTTATCTCCTTGAATGTTTTTTGAAATTAGAAATCAGGCAAAAAATTGTCGTAACTGATATGGTAGCATAACAATATTGGCTTCTCTAAAAATATTATTTATTTAAGTATCGTATTTTATTAAACCCATTGATATTGCATTATCTTTAATTGTCAGATATATTATCTTATTAAATGTTTTGTCTTATGAATTTGATTTTGTCTTATCACAGTTATCTTACAAATTTATAAAAACGTTATTTATTAAATTTACACTACTTTTTTTTTGACTCTTAACCTACTTTACAAAGATTTTTTTATTTTTTTAACTTCAAAAAGCTAACTGAATAAATA